AATACTACTGTTCCAACATATATCAATCCTGTATTTGTTTGAAAACATACCATGAGTTTATGAAAGCAACATTAACTTTATCTATATATCCATATATCATTCTTAAATTCATGCATCTTTCTGAACCATTTTCCTCAACATGAGACCATCATTTACTGCTCTGTAGGCCTGCTCTGTTGCTAGTGGAATTTCTCAGTTTTTGTTAACTTAAAGACTATTTCACTGGTTATAAAAAGTTGAGATTTAGTATATTTATACATTTTTTCTTGTGATATTTTAAACATTTCTAAAGAATTTTATATGTTTGATCATATTATTTTTTCCTCCCCCAAGTCCTCCCAGATCCTCCCCAGTTCCTTGCCCATCCAACTTCATGTTCTATCATAAAATGCAAAAACTACCAACCAATAACACACACACACCACCACCACCACCACCACCATCACCACCACCACCAATCAACTACTCCTGAGCATGAGTCCTGATGGGAGTGTGGTTAATATGCCCTGGGTCACTCAATTGGAGAAAACTGATGTTATTTTACTCTGTAAGCAAGTATCAGTTGCAGATAACCTCTGGTTAGGGATCTTTGTGCTCCCTTCCCCTTTTCCATGCTGGGATTTGTGTAGGTCTCATGAATGCTATCACAGTCTCTGTGAGGCCATGTGTGCACCAGTCCCGTCTGAAAGATTTGTTTCCTTGGCTCTTAAAATCTTAAAATCTTTCGGCCTCCTCTTCCAAATCAATACGTAAAATTTGAGGGGAGGATTTGATATAGACATCCTACTTAGTCCTGTGTGCTATAAGATCACTATTCCACTGGGTTCCAACAAAAAGCCTAGTTTAATTCTCTTTCCAGAGATTTTTTCCCCCATAGTTTTTCTTTGTGTTTATCTATTTGGAACTTAAATATATGATTCTACCACAAATTTTGGTGGTTTCTTGTGCATTTATTTCTTCAGATATTTTCTAATGTTTTACTATTCATAGGATGTTGTGTAAAAAGCAGTAACAGAAACTAAATCCTTTTTAGTTTTCAGTAGGAAAAATTTTGTTCCTTTAGATATTTAGCAGACAGGGTGTGGAGCATATCTCCTCAATCCAATTAGGAATTGAACTAGGTAGACACAGTCATGCTCTGTGTTTAAATGTCTGGAGGACATGATTTGGGTGTTTGTGGAAAACTTTCATTCTAATGGGGCTGTATCTACTAAGTCTCTACTCCCAAAAAAAGGTTCTTGGGTATTTCTTGGAATTTTTGGCTCAGTCTGTTAGCTTATCAAAGAGTGCAAGTTTCACAAAGAAACAAGCCACTTATATGGGAGTTTTGTAGATTGCAAACTGGATCTGCTCACATATCAAGTGTTCATTGTTTTTCCTCATAGTAAATTGACTCTCTATATGCCAAGTTCAATTAGACTTGGCAAATATACTCACAAAATTAATAGCTCATCTATAAGGTGGTCAGCACTGTATGAAATTTTAGTTCTTTTCCTGCACAGGCTGTCTACTATTAAAATAATTAATTTTTAAACATTGTTTTATAAGTTATTATAAAAGCAGTGATTTTCTACTACTTACAACACACTTTTTATGTTCAGAAGAACTTATAAAAACGTGTAATGAATTCAAGTTGGTGACACACATCTGTATTGGCAGGACTTAGGAGATGGAGAAAGGTGGATCAGGAGCTTAAGGACAAGCCTCTGTTGTACAGCAAGATAGAGGCTGTCCTCAAGCTCCCAATCCACCTGTCTCCACCTCCCAAGTCCTGCCATTTACAGGTGTATGTCATCATGCTCGACTACATTAACATTTTTATTTCATATTCTTATGAAATATAGATATGCCACAACCAATTACTAAGTACAAATTTTTGAATTGTTCCTCTAACTTTTGACTTTCTTAACCTGGTCATCCACTAATAATATGTCATGGTTGTGAGCAATGCTAGAATCAACTTAAGAATGCATAGAATCTCCTTGAGGTAATTATTTTATTTCCTTCAGCTATAAATCTTGATTAGATATTGCTGGATCATATGGAAGTTCCATTTTTAATTCTTTGAGGAATTTCTAGATTGTTCCAGTAGCAACTGTACCAATTTTCATTTCTATGCAGAGAAGTATAAATTTCTTTTTTTCTTACCAACAAGGGTTCTCTTTTATCTTGATAACATTCAACAGAATAGATGTGAAGTGTATCTTACCTTGTTTTTCATTTGCATTTCCTTATCTCAATGAATCTGAGTATCTTTTCATGTACTTGTTGGTGATTTGTGTCTTCTTTGGGAAAAGGTTGGTTTATGTACTAAATTGTTTGAGTTTCTTATATATATATATATATATATATAATATATATATATATTATATATTATCTGATATATAGTTTGCAAATATTTTCTTCTTGCTGTCTAGCTTTTTAGCTTTATATAACCTCCCCTTATGTGCTTTTGCTTTTGTTGTCTGTGCTTTTGGTATCCTATCTATCTAAATAGATATTTAGATAGATATCTAATTTGGTATCCTATCTATCCTATCTAAATCAAATCCCAAAGTCCATGTTTCTTCTTAGAATTTTACAATTTCAGGTCTTATATTGAGTCATCATTTACTTTTTTTATGTGGTATAAAGATCCAACTTTATTATTTTTGTATGGGGGTTACTCAGTTTTCTTAACACTATTGAAGATGCTGTAGTATTTTTTTATTTGTGCATAGCTCCCTTGTTTAAGATTAGTTGGCTGTATATCCTTATATATACTTTTGAGCCCTTGATTCTGTTTCACGGGTCTGTGTATCCATTCTTTTGTCTTAGCATACTAATATGGTAGCCTTGTAATACAATTGGAAATCAGGAAATACTATACCTCAGACTTTGTTCTCCAAACTACTTTGGCTATTAGTCTTCTGTGGTGTCTATGAATTTTAGAATTGTTTTTGATATTTCTGAGAAAATACCACTGGAATTTTGGTAGGGAATGCATTCAACCTGTAGACTGCTTTGTCTGAGTATCACAGACATTTTAGCTCCCAATCCATGGGTCCAAGAAAGCTTCCTTTTATCCATGTTATACAGTTTTCAGCGCATAGATTTTTTTTAACATCCTTAGTTATTGGCTATAAAACTTCCGAATGTCAGCAATGACTCTCTAGTCTAGATTTCTGTATTCTCTGTAGCAGCAAGCACAGAGCAGAGTTTGACCTCTATCAAGTCACAGTGATCTGCTTTGAGCTTCTACATTTTAATATAAATTGATTTCTAAGGACAGATACATTTATGATCCATGAAAGCTCGTGTTCAGAAGGTAAATCTACGTGTACTGCAGGGTGCGTTCCCCTCTACAATACTCTACTTCTGCCTTCCCTCTGCCCTCCACTCTTAGACTGTACACATACCTGCTCTCTTCAGAATTATACACACAGAAGTACAATCACACATAATTAAGTACAGTTGAGGTAGTTGTTTCATGCCTGAAATCTTGGAACACTATAATGTCTCTCTGTTACATATATGCACACACCATTGAAGGATATCAATACCACTGTTTTTAATATATATTACACAGAAGAAAATTACTATGGTTGCATAAATGACAAAGTAATTTTTACTTTTTATCTTTTAAGTCAAAATTATCTTTTATGCATATCAATATCTCAGTAATTTGCTTGTGCTGTATTTGTTTATACTTATTTACCATTCATAGTCTTTATAACTTGTCATTTCTATAGCAGTGTATGTACTCAGTTTTTTCAAAAACCAGAAAGAACATTATTCCTAACTTCCCCATTCTATCATGGTATATTGTACCTTGCACTTACTTACCCATTTTATGGTAAAAGTTTTTAAAGTAGCCATTAGCTATTACTTAATTAACTATGTATGCCATTACTCTTGAAAAAGGTTTTATATTGAAACATACCCAATCAACTATTCCACATAACCAATGAAAATGTTATAAGCCTGTATGCGCAACTGTGTTACTAATGAGAGAAACAGAATAGCTCATATCAAGATGGTCTGTTTTTAAATAAAGACTTTCAAGAAAACTTTAAAAACTTTTAAAATCATGTAGTCTTTTGGGAAATAAAGAAAAAAAAGAGGTCATTCAGTTGCCAATGCTCACACTTGTACGTGCACTGCTAACAGTGAGAAAGTATTCTCTAACCTTTTTCTTGCTGCAAGCAAGGCTTAGCGGAGCAGGCCCTGTCACCGCCTGGCACTGCCTCTGTGGGGTGCACATGCTTATTTTATTTTCAAGCCCAGGATCAAGAATCGCCTGCTTATAGATCAGAGGTTTATCCTTCAATCTAGCCTTTAGAGGAGCACTTCTCAACCTGCGGGCTGTAACCCCCTTGAAAGACTTCGATTTCCCAAAATACTTATACTATGATTCATAACAGAAGCAAAATTATAGTTATGAAGTAGCAACAAAATTTTTGGTTGGTGATCACCACAACATGAGGAACTGTATTTATTAGAGGGCTGCAACATTAGGAAGGTTGAGAATCATTGCTTTAGAGTATAAAAGTAATATTCTGGTTGTCAGTCTATAATTTGTTAGTTTTACGGGTTGGTCTGGACTTTGAATCAAGAGGACGGTTGCTACTTTACCTTTTCAACAACTCCAATCGAGTTTCAACACATTATAGGATAGGAAAGGATGAAAAGGACAATATTAACTAAATGTGAAAAAGTGGCAAGTATAACATATACTCTTGTTCAGTGACATCCTTTGTTTTTTAATATGCTTTGAAATATAGACAACTTAGTGGACACATTTGAAGAAGATTCTAGGACTCCTAATTCCCCAGGAGGCAGTTTTTTGTTTGTATATAACCGGGTTTTGCTAACAATCTTATTTTGATCAAGGAGAAGAGTGCTCTTTTCTAACCATTGTGGCTAAGTATGACAGCACAAGAAGATTACAATTTGATCGTAAAGCTCAAAGCTGGAATTTTTAGGTATGGGGCACCTTTGTTTTTACAATGACAAGTTACCTTTATAAGTTGGGACAGTGTCCAACTTTCCTCTTTTAACTTGTTGTCTTTCCACAGGCCGGACTTTTACCACAGGCTGTACTTTGTAAGGATTAAAATCTCGCTTGTAGGTAGTATCAAGATCAATATCCCCCTGTTTGGGTTTATATTCTTCTGGTATGTGGCGAGGTTGTTTGACTACTTCATAAGGGCGATAATCTGACCTGAAATATATATATATGTGTGTGTATGTGAAACACAGTCTCACTGGTTTATGTTTTGATTATTTCAGTACTAAAATCTTCAATTTTTGTCTTGAACAATCTAAGGATATATTTAAAATGGTAATAGTTGATTTGAAAGAAGCAATTAAATTCTTTTATTCTTTTATCCAATGACAAGAAAAGATGCAAAACATTCTAGTTTTAAAAAACTGAAACAGCTCCTCAATTTGATCTTAAGTGAGTAAAATTCTCAAGTATGTGGATTTTTAAAAACGATATAACATAGAAGGAAATAGCAAAAGAAATATTTGATAAGCTGATAAATTTGCCAAAATTAGCATCATAGCCACTTTGTCAAAAGCCACATTCACCTACATAGACTGCACTTGGGCATAGTTTCCTCTGATGGAAGTCTTAATATCTTTCTGTTCGTTGTCAAATTGATCACCATCTGTGGTTGAGACAGATGTGATCCTTACTAAGATTTTGGATTTCTCAGAATCTCTGACTGTGAATGGGAATGAAATGATAATCTAGACATCCTGTGCCTTATATAACATTATTTTGACAGAAGTGGTACTGAAGGGGCTGAGACAGTCCTGTGGATTGAAGAAAACCAGAGACTCAAGGCTACCAAGACTGCCTGAATCCAAATGTTGGCTCAGTCATTCAATGATTAGATAACCTTGGATAACTTAGTTAACCTGTCTGTGCCCTAGTTTCCTCAAAAAGTTGTATAATAATATCATGTACATCATAGAGTTATTTTAAATATACACACTGTCAATCCCAACATTACCTAACTGAGCTACAATTATGCTGTTAAGATCAAAAGTCTTATACAAGCGCGCGCGCGCACACACACACACACACACACACATACACACACACACCTGGTTCTTCCTGTGTTACAGAAACATGCAGCATATGGTGACACTTATTCTTTGTAGTACAGATAAATTACCCATTTACTTTCTAGTCAATATGATCAGCATGAGCAAATCAGGCAAGAAAAGCTCCCGCCTATAGGAATGTTGGGTACCTACGCCAAGTAATAGGTACTGTTTCTGAAAATGGAATAGTGAGAAAACAATAGATGTACTATGTTGGTATAGAACACTGAAACAAACCTAATAACTAGAAAGGTAGTTTGAGAAGTTATAAGAAGGAAGTTTACTTGGCCTCAAAAGCTAAATTAAAAAAAAAAAAGGTAGGGTGGCAGAGATGATATTTACAAAAGAAAATTGAGTTGATATTTACAGATTGGATTAGCATTAGCTATGAAAAGAGGGAGGGAGAATTCCAAACAGGGAAGAAAAATTAAAGAAGCAAGCAGGGTTTGATAATTCATGCAGTAATTATGGAAAGAATTGGGTCTATGTTAAACAACTGAAACATTTTAAGGTATTTCAATTAGGGTCATGATAGGAGTAAATCTACATACTTGAAAGATTGCCTTGTCAGGCTTAAGTATTGGATACCAATCAGAGATGCAAAACTAGAACACACACACGCACACATACACACACACATCAGGAAGCAGAGGCATTCCTCTAGATGGTAGTAACAGTGCAACATACATAAATATGAGATATTCTAAGCAATTAAAAAATGAGAACTTTTTGTTTTCCCTTTTCTTCTCTTTGTTAAAGTAACTTAATTTTTATCTTTCTGCTTAAGTTGTGAATTAATTTCTTGCTTTTCATATTAGTTCAATTTAAATCAAATAGCAAGTTAAATTTAAATAGTAAGAGAACTTTATTAAGACCAGAAGAATTGGACAAAAAATAAGGAAACAATTTCTTAATATTTACTTAAATGTGGTTACTCCTTCCATTCTACCACGGTAAGCTTGAAATTCTTGCTTTGGTTTAAGACTCTGAGGTGGAAGAACATCACCATATTTTGGATATTTTTCCAAATACTCTGTCGTGGGGCAAGATACGCCAGAATGTTCATAAACCCTTGTGATTCCACGTGGACAACGATGCCGTCTGTACAAACAAATAAACGGAAATATTATTTTTCCTTACAAATATCTCGTGTGGTTATTGCATGTTAACAGGATCCCAGTGGATTCACAACTTCTGAATTTTAGTAAGGCTTTCCCCTCTGCATTGGTGTTTATGAAAATAAATTACACTGTAGCCTTACATAGCAGAAACTGGTTTTGCTCATAATAGTTTAGTGACTTATGTTACTGAAGTAGAAAAACCAGCACATGAATTTCCTAGTTGTCTGGAAGACAAGTTTTCTGCTTAGGTTTCACAGATACTCTCACGTGACTTTGAGTCAGAACATAGCTACAAAAGGAAAGAGACAGAGAACAGCATCCATTTTTGGTGGTGGAGGGCATGGAATATAGTAGAGGCCAAGAGAGACTGGAGCTGGGAGTTGTTAGGCAGCATCGTGATTAGACAACTCCTTATTCTTCCACGTGTCTAAGAAGCTTTAAAGTCAGAAGAGCCAAGAGACTCAGCAATGTCCACTGAAAATGAGGCTGTTGGAAAGTGCTGAAGTGATTTTGTCCAATGCAGGGTCCAAGATACTTTGAAAATCCAGGAGCAGAGTACACAGGTCAGAGATAGATAGATAGATAGATAGATAGATAGATAGATAGATAGATAGATAGATAGATATAGATATAGATATAGATATAGATATATACTGATAGAGCTGCACTGATTAAAAAACACAAGTCAAAGCTTTGGAATTTGTCATTGTTTTTATTGTCCATGAAAGCAATGATTTCACAGTGTAACAAAGCAAAGATTGTGGACAAGTATAAGACATAAAAGTGCAGACAAATTACAAGCCTAGCATTTATAATCTTTAAAGGAAAATTTTCTTCCTTCTACTTTGTGGTTTTGCTAGCAGTTATAGCTGTTTACACCTGTCAAACTTTTCTGTCTTTTTGAAAAAGCAGCTCATAGAAATGATAAAAGCAGGTGTCTCTAATGGGAGATCAAAATAATTGAATTTTAGTTTCATAAGGTATTATGGTTTGAATCTGAAATGTCCACATGTTTTGAGCCTTTGCTTTCCAGCTGATGGAACCATTCTGGAAGACTTTTGGGAAGCTGGCACCTACCTGTTAGAAGTAAGTGGCTAACAGCAGTCCTTGAAAGATTATAGCCTGGCCCCTAATTCCAAAGGCTTTCTACTTCCTGGTCGGCCAGCATGTAACAAGCCTTGCTTCATGTTCCAGGAACAAGAACTCCACCATGCCTGACTGCCAGGGACTGCACCCTCTGAAACTGTATGCCCAAGTAGACCCTTCCTCCTTTCTTTCTGTCTGGTTTCACTACCACAGTGATACAAACATTTAGAACAGATAATCTTCAACAAAAAGAATAGGGAAAGATCTTCTCTCTTCCCTTCCAGCAGGACAGGAAGCAAAAGATAGGGGTGTGGTGAGGTGGGGTGGAAGGACAGTGAAGAACCTTTGCCTCATTTTGAGACAGTGTCCCATGGAGGTAACCACATTTAAAAACCATTGGCGGAGTGTAACTATGTATGTTATAGTAGCTCCCTGTTTTGTCAAAGATTCTTGTAAAAGCAGCAGAGGCACTGCTCTTGAAGGAACTAAGCTTCTGCAAGAGACATTTCAGTAGAACTTATCAGTCATGCTTCAAAGCTTAAAGGGGCTTCCTATGACACTGGCAGTGCCCCCTTCTTTGGATAGTGATATTATTTGAAGACTGGAGAGTCCCCACTGTAATGAATTTCGTGATTGCTGGATGTAAAAATAACTTACTTTGTAAATTCAGATTAAAATACACTTTTTCCTACACAGCAGATTTTGCAGATTTATGCCTTAAAATTATTTTTCCATCCATACCTACATACAAACAAGGTTTATTATGAAAGAGGCAGAGACACTGCTTTCAATCCACATGTATTGTAGGTGGTTGCCCTTAGAGGGGATTAGAAATACAAAGGGCTTGGCATTACTCGTATTTACTTAGCAAAGGTGATCTAATACCTGGGTCAACAGTAAGGCTGAGGAAAGGAAACATGTTTGCTGGCAGCGGAAGGTTGTTAGGCAGAACTTACAGAACAAATTCGAGATTTAGACTTTTTTTTTTTTTTTTCTGTCAGACAGAGCCCAAGAGAACACTGTCTGGACAGGAATAAGAATACGATTAGGGGTTGGAGAGCCCTGGCTTGCAAACGGAAGACCTTGGCTAGTGCTCTTTGAAATTAACCACTAGAATTGGTGGGTGGGTGCCTGAACTCTCCCAGGACAGAATCCATCACTTACCGGCCACATCTGCTCATACTACTTACCTGGCCTGGACTGTATTTTAGTTTAAATCTCTGGGTAGGAAGCGTCGGGGACTGCAAAGAAGAAAAGTTTTGCCCCAGGAGCCAGTAACTAGAGAAAAGGGGTGCACTTCGCAGAGGGTAAGCGGGGAGGGGAGAGAGGGGAATGGGGGGGAGGAGGAGGGTGTCTTCGCCAGGCCCTTGCCACTTGAGGCTAGAGGGTCCTGGGGCTGCGGGTGTGGGCAGCGAGGTGTCAGCGGAGCTCGCGGCCCCGCCGACGCCACACCGGCCGGCCTCTTCTTACCCGCAGGTGCAAATCTGACACAGACACCAGGGCCTCATGCTCTCTGCTCCGGCGTCCTTCTCCGCCAGGTCTGCAGCTGGCACCTGAGAGCAGCCACGGCGTCCACCGTCGTCAAGACGACCACGGGATTCCCACGGGGACGGAATCGACGCCACTTCCGGAGGCGTCCTAGGTGCGCGCGGGTCAGAGGTCGCAGGCCCGCAGGCTCCGCCTCCCCGGTGCCTGAGACTTCCGGCCTGAGCTCTTCCGGGAGCCCTGGAAGCGTGAGTGCAGTGCGTGCGGCGTGGAGCCGGTGAGTTGGGGGTCCTGCCAAGGATGCCGGCAGTTAGACGATGACGGGGACCCGAGGGGTTGTGTCGGTAGGGCCGGGCGAGCAGGGCCTGGAGCGGCTGCACCGCGTAAGGACCCAGGACCCCCAGCGGCAACTCCCAGAGCCCGAACGGAGGAAGGGGCGTACAGATCTCCGTTTGCTACGTTTGTTTGGTTTTTTTTTGTTGTTGTTGTTTATTTATTTATTTATTTTTTGGAGAGAGGGATGGTAGATGTGTCACGCACCTGTTGTGTTCGTAAGCACGTGATCCGAAACTTTTAAGGACACTCAGTGCAGTCACAGGGCCGAGGTTCTTTACGTCCGGGGAAAAGCCAGTGAGCTGGACAGAACGACAGACTTTCGGAGGGACTCAAGCGGGATGGCCACCTTTCCTGTGGTCGGCTTGGGCCAGAGTACCTGAGTGGGTGGTGTCACGTAGCAGGGCGTCTCTGCACCCGGCTGCCTCCCGGCTGCGTGATTCATCGGGGCGCGGGTGTGGGAACTCCCAGCGCACTCCACGCTCCAGTGTTTGTTGCAGGGGTGTGTGGACTTTGCCGTGGAACCGGGGCCCGTACTGCCATATCCAGTCAGGGGCAGAAGGAAACGGATGGGTAAACGACACTGGGTTCTCCTTTGAGGACTCTCGGGCGGTCCATAAGCCTCAGCATCCACCTCTCAGTTTGTCCGTTTGTTTTTCCATGGTGTTGCGCTTCCTCCCACCACTGGATTTTCTTCCATTTGTAATTTGCATTTAATTTTTAGTCACAGATTGAAATAAGTAACCATGGTGCTCAATGGCATTGACAAGATGATTCAGCTTCAGAAGAACACTGCCAACATCAGGAATATCTGTGTTTTGGCTCACGTTGATCATGGTAAGTCTCTTCTAAAATGGCTTTTTATTAACAGAGGAGACATGTTCTCTATGTGTTTCATCGGAATGATGAAAGGGACGCTTGCTAGGAAGTTGTGTGTGTCGTCTCAGAGAAGTGTGCTGTAAAACGGTTGAAATAAATGGGCTAACTGGTTATCACTGTTCTAAGTAGTCTGCCACACAATGCTTTTAAATTTGAGTTTTTGTTAAAATATGGGAACGTTTTTGAAATGGTAAAATGGCTCTGGTCTTGATAGAGTGTTTCTTCTATGGATCCTATTTAATTTATCACCTCCTGAGTTAGCATCTGCTGAGTGTGCAGTGTTTTGTTAGATTTATTTGGAGCTAGGCATTTATGAGGAGGCCACCTGCCCAGCTGTGGAGGTTTTAGGAATCATGGGCAACATGATGAGATACAGCAGCAGGGGGTTGGGTAGGGGAGACAGGGACTAGATAAGAGTTTTGAGAACTGGAAGATTGGGTAGCTTTGAGGAGGAGCTGTAGGTGATAGGTGGGGACAAGCATTGCAAGTAGCAGCAGGTAAAAGGGCAGAAGGGGACATGTGCTACTGAACTACGGACGCTTGTGGGGTTCGGATGGCCGTTCTGACACTATCCCATAGCTTCATCCTGAAGCTGCTCTCCATCTGAAACTCTTGGAGTTGCACTGGCTCAGCGTTTAGAGTCCCGTTTGAACCCGAAGGTACTTAGCGTATTAAAGGTAAGGAAGAGGTAGGCAGGGCCCCATCTCACATCTCTGCATGCCTGAGAGGCTCAAGGAAGGGTTACGTTCCCTACCTCTGCAGTTAGACATCGTAAACTCTGAGTTGTTTTTAAATTACTTTACCTATTTGAGCTTCCGTGTACAGCCTGTGTGAATGGTCATTAACATTTTTATTAGCGTGTAGGGAGCTCTTAGGGAAAAAAAAATAAAGCAAGGACAAAGTACTCCATCTGTAGATTAGATTAGACTGGTAAAGGTGCTTGGGCGGGTTAAGAGGCAGAAAAGAGGCTTGGTGACTCTTGTCATTAATCTGAGCTCCGAAGAGAAGGTAGTACAGAGACAGAGAGAATAGATCGCTTTGTAGGAAGCACCAGCAGGGACTGAGTTTTATATACCAATGAAATCTCAGCGAATAGCTTACCCATGGGTTCTAGGCAGATGGGTCCATGTTTGGGGAATGTGAGGTCCAGCCAAAGGTTTCACTTTGTTTCTTTTTCTTTTCCTTTTTTTTTTTCTCTTTTGTTTTGTTTTTGCTGTGGGAATTAAACAGTATGTATATATTAAACTTTGTTCTCTAAGGGATTAGGCCTTGCTTAATAATGCAGAGTCCTTATTTGTGGTACATTCTAATGGGTGTATATTTGCCATACTTAAAATGAATTCTACTCTGTTGCACAGCAGGAAAGCGATAGTCTAGGATTATATATTAAAAGACATTTTTTAAGATCTATAGAGATCCTGTGGATTGGTCTTTGATACTGTTCCACAGATTGCACAGATTATATATTTACAGACTACAAAAAGCTGGATTTTAGGAAAAAGGCATTATTTGTTAGGCCTACCCTGCTGTGAAAATTGAATATGCACATGTCATTCTTTAAACACAGGTCCCAGTTTAAGCCGCTTGAAATTGTGTTAGCTTTGACAGTAGTATAATAAAGGTAACTGTAAATGTATATTTGATAATGCAAAGATTTTCTTTTACTATAAAATAGATTCCATATTTAGTTTTTAACTGGGTAGCATTGGCTGCTCCAGTGTAGACCTCTAACAACAGGAAGACAAATTTTCTTACTATTAACTGGCAAATGTCAGCTAGGGTCACACATAGATAAATATGACAGAAGACGATGTGTGGTTTGTTTCCTGGTGATGATTTACCCTGTTTACCCTTCTGAGCTAAATACGGTGGCTGTACTTTTGTCATTCTAAGCTTTTAGAGCCTAAGTTTGTAAGTATGACCAATTTTGTGGGATGGTTGGTAAATGATAATAAACTTGAATGATTTCTTAAAGCTAGATTTTAATAACTAACACAAACATTCCAAGACTTAGTTTGTATTTTGATACCCAGAGTAGTTTGCCTCATCAAGTAAGTCTTTAAAGTCCAACTATACTTAAAATTCCTGTGCTTCAAATTAATCTTGACAACCTTTCAAGTGGAATTGGTGGGGTCTACAGGAAGATGATAAAGCACTATAGAATGCTAGCCCATTTAAACTAATGTCTTGTAATTAATGTTGTTTTAACAGGAAAAACAACCCTTGCTGATTGTCTCATATCTAGTAATGGAATCATCTCCAGCCGCCTGGCAGGGAAGGTATGTTGTTAGATTTGGAAAATGCTTGTTGCATTTTAATAAAAATTAACTATCTATGATGTCATGATCTAGTTGCTTTGTTCTTTAGCAATGTAAACATGTAGAAGGAGCTGACAACCCATTAAGTTAAGCTAAAATAGATGTTGAGAAAAGTTCACTTCTATATTGCTTTTTGTTGAGTTGTATGAATCCTGTGTTGTGTAAGTGCAGAAGTGACTTGTGACAAGTCAGCTGTTACATGTTCTAGAGGTTTTATGGGTGAATGAGTTGGCTGGTTTGAGAATAAGGCAGAAAAGATATTAAAAAATAACAAGAATAAAGACCAGTTTCCATGTGTTGTGCTTGTTTGATTGGAGCTTTTGCTTAGAGATCAACAGAATGTGTCAGATTACATAAGATCTTGAAGATTAGCTTAAGTGACCCAAGAACCAAAGGAAGGCTTGAGGATCTTGTTGAAGATACTGATTTAGGGACTGGTGAGCACAGTAGGTAAAAGTGCTTGTTGCGGGGCCTGATGCATTGGATTCTTCAGATTTATGTGGCAGTAGGGAGAACCCCCCCACACACACACACTACAAGTCCTCCTCTGACCTCTATGCAAGGTGTGTGTAGGTACATACACACGCAAAGAGTTTCCTAGCTGTAAGTTCAAAGAGAAAAAAACTGAATCAACAAAGTAGATGCAGGAGACTTAGAAGATAGGAATGGAAATTTGAGACCATCTGTGTGGAAGCCAGAAGGTTGGGTTTAACAATGAAGCACTCAAGTTCTCCCATCTTGAGATGGTAGAATGACAGTAACCAAAGTAAGAGGGAAGAAAATAAAGTGTAATTAAGTGAGGTAGAAAACAGAGGCTTTATAGAAAAGCACTAGTGAAGTAAAAAAGATGACAACTGACAAATAGAAAACTGATGGCCCCCCTTAAAACATATACCCAACATAAACTGGACTTTAATAACTTGTCAGTGTTGGTTCGTCAGTCGGAAGAACGTAACATACCACACAATAATGAAGATGGAAATATTAAGAGAAGTTATTGGGAGGATGTTTGTGGGAACTGCTATACTTATTAAATTTTCCATAGACATAAATTGTTATAAACTATAAAGTTTACTAATTAATAACAGTGTAAACAGTTTGTGATCACTGTAACTAAAAACCTTATTTTGCTTTTTTATTTTTAATTTTCACTGTTGAGACATATTAGGTACTTTGACCAGCTTAATGCTGCTTTTGTGGCTCACTGTACTTAGGCAATATATGAAGTATAGCATATATAAAAGCTTTTTTCTTTTCAAGACAGAGGTTTTTTTTTTTTTTTTTTTTCTTTTTAAGACTCACTTTGTAGACCAAGCTGGCCTCTAACTCACAGAAATCCTGCCTCTGCCTCCCGAGCGCTGGGATTACAGGTGTGTGCTACCACGCCCAGCAAGAGGTTTTTTTTTTTTTTTTAATGAATGACTTAAAGATTAGTAGAACTGACAAGATCAGCAAGATTGAGCAAGAATGAGAAGGAAATGATGGTAGGAAAGAAAAATGCTAGAGATTTAATAAAGGGTATAATGAACAACTTCATGTCAGTA